CGTTAGGTTAGAGTTTGATCTGAGGATGCGAGGACCTTGGCCAGGCCAACCATACCTCCACTATAGAGATCAAGAAGACAACACCTTCTCGGCGTTGTCTTCTTGATCTTTGTTTTTCAGATATTTGTATATATGCCTTGCGCGTTTTTCTTGTGGTTCTAGTTACCGCCGGTTATACTAAAATATAGTTGGCCTTTCGGTCATTCTATTCTTATCAATGGTTTCTACTTTGCTGAACTTGCTATTTTTATACTGCTGAATTGCCGGCTCAGATTGCTCTAGTTTCAGTATTATGTTAACATTTTTAAGTTATGGTGAGCAATTAAGGCAATCCGATACCAATATTTGTGACAAAATTACATTACGAATTACTGCCGCCAAACAAAAATTACGCGGCATTTACAACAATGCTCCGAAAGGTGACGGATTACAAACAATCCGTTACTTGTAACGGATTACTTCCCAAGTCTGCTTCAAAGGCCCCGGTAGTGCGGTACGCGGAATACGGTAACTGTTTGCTAAAAGTCCCCAATACCTGGTCAGATCTCGTGTGATACGTACACACCAGGTCCTTTTTGTTCAATGTCCGCCTAAGCAAATGTGTTAGGTGCCGTTATTTGCCATTAATCAGCTCCTACTGCACAAATGTCGCAGTTCAACGCGACTCCCACCGTAGCGCTCGGACCGTCTGCGGGCACGACACATGATACTAATGTGGCAAACGGGTAAGATGGCGGCGACATAAGGGAAAAGGGGGGGGGGGGGGGGTGCCATTTTCGCTGCAGGCCGTGGGTTCCGGTTTGCCGCTCTATTCGTCTAACTCTCGTCCGTCCTCTAGGTACTCGGAAAGTGACCGCAGCATTGCTGTTGTTATCGAATGCTCTAAATCTCAAATTCCCAGTCGCTTTCACCACACAGGTTATCATACCAAGGCGAAGCCGCCATAAAATGGTTACGCCCGGAGACAGTTTGCAAGAGAAGGCGCATCAAAGATCGTTCTGTGAGGCCGCTAGGTGATTATTGGAAATAAATCCCTCGTCATTTGGTTTAAACATTGAAAGAATCGAACGAAAGGGCAGCGTATAAGGTGAAACCCTGCCCTTGGTTAGTGTGATTTTGAACCAACAGACGGCGATGAGATCGCCTTCCAGACTTGTAGATGGACGAAATAAATAGTGTGTGGTGGCGCTTCGATACTGTGGTATTTTTCTATACATAGAGTTATTACAATAAACGCTAGAGGCTCCACTGGCGCTAATGTCTACAGTCTAAGAAAAAAATGGAGGAAAAAAGTAGCAACGGCGCGTCTTCCTCCCTTCTACTGACGCGCCCCCAAGCGGACACGAGAAAAGTGGAGGAACGAAACGTTTTTCTCCTTCTCCAGGCAGACGGGAGAAAGCTTTCGCCCTTCCGACTCATCTTCTTTCGGTTTCATTTTTCGAGAAGGTCGCGCACGTTGCTTAATAAATAGCTGTTGAGTTGATTGAGCTTCAGCGGCAGCGAAGGCCGCCTGTAATTCCGTCTTCTAGTCTAAACGTGCAGAACATTTCGGTTGCATTGACGTTTTTATCACTAATTTTATCAAACGAGCAAACGAGGCCGCTAGAAACAGCGAAGTTCCGGAGCAGTGCCAGCAGCGCCACGTATACATTGGGGGATGGCCGTCTCCGGATTGCGGGACTCGCGCGGCACGGAACCGACGGAACTACCGTCACTACAGTAGCGAAACCACGCGGAACTGTGTCGACGTTTTCGACGTTATGGAAACCGCAGGAACTGCGTCCAAGACAGGCAGGTTTTGTTGCCGGCTGCCTGGGTGCCTTCCCCCCTGATTTCGGTTCTGTTTTCCGATGCCGAGTGCAACCGGCGTTCAACGTGGTTCTGTACTTGTGCGTGTCAGCAACATAGCTGCAATATCGTGATGACAGTGTTGGGGGTTGTGAACAGAAGACTGGAATTATCGCCGATGCGACCGTGTGTTCGCGTATCAGTGGTGTAACAACAAGATGAGATCGTAAACTGTTTGGCATTGGTGCCGTTGGTCGGGCCGTGATCGGAGGGGGCAGGGTGTCGCAGGTTGACATTCCGCTTTACATTAAAAAGTTTAATACCACTTGAGGGATTACGTGCAATCGATCAACGTGCGAATAGTCATGTTGGAACGCTGTTCTAAACAGTAGAAGCTCCTATCGTACAGTGGCCAATGTGACTGTCAGAATTGTCTCGTCCCCAAGAGCGATTGGGCTCTGGGGCAAGGAGTGAACAGTACGAAATCGTGACGGAAAGTACGTATATTTACAGTATGGAATTTCGGCATTAAAAAACAATAGTAGGTAAAGTCGAGAAAAAAAAAAGCTACCTCACCCTTTATTTTGCTGTTTAAATATACTACGGTTCCTGGAGAAACTGCACTCCAAGTGGCGTTAGCCGAGTTTGAGGTACGTGCGTTCGGAATTCGAATTTTGCAAGGTAGGCTAAATGTGCCTATCCTTACGGCCGCACCGCCGCACCCTGTACTTTCGATAATTTCGAACGTGGTTAGAGCTTTCAATCCAGTCGGAAATCAGAGCTTGTTCTACGTCATGTAAGCCCCCACAATGTACGTCTTGGCTGGCTCGTATGTTGCGCCGCCCGTGTGCCGCTTCAGCCAGCGGCGGACGCAGGGCGAAGAAGACCTAGCACGAGATCTGCTGCGAACAGCCCGTGGTCCGAGCCCACCCCGAGGACCCGACTTGCATGCGCATCAACCAGCATGCAAGTCGTTTTTTTTTTTTCTTTTTTTGGAAAACATTTGCGCCATCTATGAGGAAAAGGCTACAAATAAATCGCGGGTGGTTCCCCCTGGCGCCACGATGAGGATTGACTTGTGTAGATTTATACACCGGGCAGTTGGTCAGCCATTTCAAAGTTGCGACGAGTCACTCGCTGTAGATAACAATTTAGCCAGTGCAGTACAACCGCTAGCCTGGGGTCACCTCCTGAATAAACACTGCAAGACGCAGGAAAAAGGATACTGAGGGCAATCACGATCAGCTGGCCTCCGCTGCTGCTGTGAATGTAGGCCTGTAAATGGGAGTGCGCAAGGTTAGCCGCCGTCTTCGAAAATTGAGGCCTTAAAGGTGCACTAAAGACGTTTCTCAGATTTTCTGTTCTTAGTGATAACGTATTTTACGGGATCCAAGCATCCAGGAAATCCAAAAATTATGCTTGTGCGACGTCTATTCCTCTACTACAATTGTGGTAGAAGTTCGTGGCACGGCCGTTTCTGATCCGAAAGATCTGGACCACAAAATCCAGCGGAGGCGCCGGCGGCGTCTCCTCTATCGGTGCGACTGGCGGACGCGCGCCCGTCGTCACGCCGCCAACGCCCCCGCTGAATTCTGCGTTCCCGATTTTCCCGCTCAGAAAGGACCTTGGCACAAATTTTTATCACATTTGTAGTAGGGAAATAGACGTCGCACGAGCATACTTTTTCGAAGTTTGGAATGCTAAGATCCCGTAGAATAAGTAATCACCAAGAGCAGACAATCTCAGAAAAGTCTTCATCGCACATTTAACAAGGGCACTAAGATCTCCAAGCTCGGAGCATCCCAACCCCATGGAAAATAGATGATGCTGTTTCCAAGAGTGGAAATAGCATCCTTTTGCTGCAAGTCTGAGAGCAGCAATGGTGCCCCCAAAACAGCGCGTCGCTTGTTTTTATGCACGCGGTACATTCAACAACATCTCGAATAAGAATACGCGATGACTGCCGCGAATGGGCTGAACTTTTCAGAACAGCCGAGATTAAGAAGAAAAAAATTCCAGTACAAGTGGGCTCGAACTTGTTCGATCCGCGTGGCAGCAGCGTATGTTCCCAACACCGCCAGGGAAGTGGCAGTGACCTAGTTTGTTTTCAGTTTGATATTGAAGGCCCATCTGGTTTTTGCATTACGTGTGTAATGACAAAGCAGTTAAAGACCGCAAGTATTTGTTGAATTTTGCTTAGTAACTCAGATGTATATATTTTTTTTTTGCGTGCTCTAGACGAGTTCTTTATTTGGTGTGTGTGTTGTATTGTTTCCCGTTTAGGGGGCTGCTGATTTCTTTGCCTAGACCATCACCTCTTGTACTGCTCTGAACCCTAAGCCACATAAGGAGCAATGCGTTTTGATTTTGTCACCCCAGCTGTAAAGGCCGATAAAAAACACTTATATATAAAAAAAAAAAAATAGAAAAAACACACACCAACTTATTTGTCGTGTTTATTGCTCCTTCAGTTCAATTTCAAATCGCAGAAATTCGGACCGCTCAGCTTATAAATGTAGCAAACACCAGAGTATATCTTAAAGAACCATTCCTTCTAGCCCGTTTAATGACGCCATAAACAAGCGAGGCAAGCAAATGGAGGACCAAACAAAAGCTCCGGAAAACTAAATGAGAGCATTTGAACACAGATCACAATAATATGAACATGGAATGAGTAGTCTTGGGCTTCAAGGTTGCGCATACTTATTTTTACAAATTCCGCTTATCCTTAGATTAAAAAAAAAATTAAAACAACAATTCATTTGTTGTGGTTATTGTTCTAGGAATTTAATTACGAATCACAAAAATTCTTGCCGCTCAACTTGTAAATGTAATAAACACCAGAGTATATTTAAAAAAAATTTCCTCCCAGCCCTTTAACGACGTTACAAAACAAGCGAGGCAAGCAAGTGGAGGACCTAACAAAAGCTCAGGAAAAATTAATGACAGCTTTCGAACACGGATCACAATCATATGAAAATAAAATCTGTATTCTTGGGGCTTGAATGTTGCGCATAGTTATTATTACGAATTCCTCGTATCCTTGACAGACAACAACTTACGAGGAGCAATAAAATATGCATAAAATATGTTTTGTTTTATTGGCTAAATATTCCGAAGGTTTCGACGATCGAAGAAGCCCATTGTTCATGAATGAATAAATGCACACAATAAGGAACGTGGCAAAAACAGACGAAAGTCCAGTTTCGATGATGCTTGCCGAAAAGGTTTTCCTCGTCTCGTTCGTTCTGCTAGCGTGGGATAGCGAATGCTATGCTCAAGAAAGCGACATGAAGCTCGCCCGCGCCCAGAACCATTTTTCCCTCAAGCTTCTCAAGGAACTGTCCAGCGAAGCACCGGAATCGAACCTTTTCTTCTCGCCAACCAGCATCTCCGTCGCACTCGCCATGGTCTACGCCGGCGCCAGGGGCAAGTCCGAAGCGGAACTTTCCACTGTTCTCGGCCACACCGCAGCGGGACTGCCCAGCAGAGAATCTATACTGGAGTCTTACAAAAAGATCCTGGCAAAACAACAGACTGATGACAATGTAAGTTTAATGATAGCCAATGCAGTCTTTGTAATGAAAACACTGAACGTTCTCGAAAGTTACCGGAAGGAGCTCGTTAACATCTTTGCCGCATTGTTCCGGTCGATAGGCATTGGGGCAGAAAATTCTGACATGGAATCAGAGGTTAACGAGTGGGTAAAGAACAAGACCAGAGGCAAGATCTCGGGCTTCAAAATTCCCCCAAACACCATAATGGCGATTCTCAATGCCATTTACTTCAAGGGGCTATGGAACACATCTTTCGATCCCAACAATACCTCCCCGCTTCCTTTTCACAACAAAGGATCTAAGGTGGTTCTGGTAAAAACAATGACGCGAGTCTCCAACGTACCGTTCGCCTCTGAACCTGACTTTGAAGCCATAGAATTGTCTTACAAAGGGGACGAACACTGCATGGTAATCATACTTCCAAGACAAAGAAATGGACTTTCCAAACTTCGCGACGCCATGACTGTCGAGACCATAGAAAAAATCCAGGGAAGTTTGAAAGAAAAGACTGTCAAGATTCAACTTCCCAAGTTCGACTTGAAAACGGAGTACGGCCTCGTCCCTGCTCTGAAGAAGTTGGGCGTGCGATCGATCTTCTCTGACGCCGATCTGTCGGGAATCACTGGCAATAGAGGGCTGGTGGTAACCGATGTCCTGCACAAGGCTGCCATTCAGGTCAACGAAGAAGGCACGGTTGCCGCCGCCGCAACAGTAATAATCTTTAAAAGTGCTCCAGAACCCTTCGTCGTGAATAGACCTTTCCTCTTCTACATCCGCGAGAAAGCTACCGGCCGTATGCTATTTTTGGGAGAAGTGCACGAACTCCCAGCCCCTAAGCCCACCCTTGGTTAGTGCGATTCTGAACCAACAGATGGTGATAAGGTCGCCTTCCAGACCCCTGCACGAACACAATAAATCGTGTGCTGTGGCACTTCGATACAGTGTGGCATTTTTCATTCTCCTGATATCAATATCCGTGGCTGTTTACTTTTTTTTTTTTTTTTTTAATGAGCGAGTTTTCCGGGGAACGAGGTCCCACTGCACCAGTTTGAGGGTGGCGATGTGGGGTAGAAGGGTATGCCCTTGAGCTAGTTGATGATTCATGTTTGTAAGGGTAAAAGCGCTAAAACCAACGGACGAGTAAAAGAAACTAACAACACAGATGCGGGGTATTTGGTTCATACTGTAGCGGCGTGCAGAGGCGCTTGCCGGTAACCACGGAAGACGAAGACGGAGCGCGGGCGGGGGCACTTGACAGACTTCAAATCCGGCCTAATTTCGTTATGGACGTCCTTTTTTAAATTAAAAATTGTAACTCACACTTGCGGAAGGGTAAACAGCGAACAGGCAGCGCTTGTCCTGCGTTCGCTTCTACTTTGTCCCTGTTTTTTGCGCGCTGCTTTTCCTTTTTTCTGCAGCTGTTCTCGTGCAAAGAAGCACCTGCCTACGCTATGAGCTCAGACGTCCTGCAAGTGTGGTCAGAACAAAACGTGAAAATCGTTCTGATGTAATGGCGAGGGATATTCACTATAACCTTAGTATCCTAGTATCCTTGTGTCCTAGTGTCTTAGTATCTTAATATCATAGTATCTTAGTACCTTAAGATCTTAATATCTCAGTATTTTAGTTACTTCTTTGCTTCTTTGCTCAGTTGTTTAGTTGCTTAGCTGCTTAGTTGCTTAGTTGCTTAGTTGCTTAGTTGCTTATTTGCTTCGTTGCTTACCTCTGAATTCACAGATGTGACTTGATCTGAAGCCGAACTTCGACTTCCTCAAGTTTGCCTTAACACCCTGTTCGGCTTGAAAGCTCCCAAGGCGGCCGTTACGTTTCATAGACGCGCCCGCGAACTTCCTTCGTAAGGTCCCGCTCAAGTCGCGAGCGCTCGCGGTGCTCCCCGCATGGGGGCGAGATTAGGCTGCGCTTTTTCCTTTAAAAACTGTTCCACAATAAAAAAGATAAAGAACATTCCTTCGTTAAATTTGTTTACATAGTATGTCTTTACGGAATGAAAATCGCGAAAGGTGCTGATGCGCGGGTTTAAAGACTAACAATGTAGGCGTTTCCTAGACAAATGTCCGTGTCCGTGTAGCAACGTTGGTTCATTTGGGCAATGGCTAAAGGCGCTTGTTCTTTTTGTTTCTCTCGTCGGCGTCCCTCGCTTCTGGCCACATTTGGCGTCATGTGAGCTTCGACGTCTCCTTCATTTTAAAAACTCGGGAGGAGCTTGAACTACGATATACCGAAGACAAGAAAGAAATGCATATCTGGAATCAACAAGCACGAAAAGGTATACAAGCAAATGCCCGAGTCTTGCATTGCATCCACAAGCCTGAACACGAAAGTTTAAAATCCTCATAAAATTTTCCCACGGGACTCTAATAATGAAAAAAAGAAAATGCTTGGAAGTCCCGATGTGGAAGGAAAGGAATCCAAATTGAAGTGGTGCTCAAATCAGGTAAGTGTTCTGCAACATACCCTTTTTGCAAACTATGCGGCGTTGGGTACGTGTTCAGTCGCATATGTAAAGTCTTAACTATATGCGGCCTGGCCTAAACACTCTCTCGGCTGTTTTAAACGTTATTCTGTGTAGCTTGCACGTTTCCACAAAGGCTTGTTTTAAACGGAGCAACTTCATAAAGACTTCAGCGACCAGGAAGTATCTACCGGGTATCATAATGTTCGCATCTATATTTACCTCGTCAAGCTTTCACGTACAGAAACATTTGCCCAGAATCTTTACACGGGTGGTGACCAATAAACAAGAAATAAACAGGAATAAATAAACGTTTAATGTGGCGAACTTGTGCCAAAAATAAAAGGGTACAAAAGATAATAACAGAGGGTCGCGGGCGTCGAAGTCGGCGTAGCTGTAGAGTCGCACGCTGGGGCGAAACGGACTCCGGCTTGCCACGCGGAGCTGCTTTTGTACACGCGTGGGCTTCTGGAGCATTCGGCGTAGAAGGTTCGGCGCGTAGAACATTCTAATCTCGAATCAGCCAAGACGGTTCTCGAATTTACCAGAATACTAGTCTGCAGGAATAAACAAAAAGACGCGCCGCTCCCAGGAATCAAACCCTGGCCCTTCGCGTGGGAGGCAAGCGCGAGAACTGTTAGGCCACGGCCGCGCTGCCTACTTGGCGCGCGGCATTATTCCCCCCTTTAAAACGTGCATCACCCCGATGCAATGCAAAACAAAACAAAATAAAAAAAAAACGAACGATAAACTAAAGAGACCTTTGGAGCGCATAAGATCCACAGTCCTATCGAGCGTAGTACGGCTTCAGGTGCACGACGTGGACGACCTCAGGTCGTGGTGGGCGGCGTGACGATGTTCGTGTTCCGTCGGGCATCACGTCGTAGTTCAGCTCGCCGAGGCGACGAAGTACCTTGTATGGTCCAAAGTACCGTTTCAGCAGTTTCTCACTGAGGCCGCGGCGACGGATGGGCGTCCACACCCACACCCTGTCTCCAGGCTGGAAGTGGACGTCCCTGCGACGAAGGTTGTAGCGGCCCGCGACGACGCGTTGCTGTTCTTGAATCAGGAGTCGGGCAAGCTGGCGGACTTCTTCGGCCCGTTGAACAACCACCTGGGCGTCGTCGCTCTTATTGTCAGCTGGCTCATGGGACAGCATCTCGTCCAGCATGGTCGTTACTTTCCGACCATGCACCAGCTGGAAGGGTGTGAATCCAGTGGTCTCTTGAACCGCCGTATTGTAGGCGAACCTGACGTAGGGCAGCACCTCGTCCTACGTCTTGTGCTCTACGTCGACGTACATAGAGATCATATCGGCGATTGTCTTGAGTCGCTCCGTCAGCCCGTTGGTCTGCGGGTGGTACGCAGTTGTACGACGATGGCTGGGTGTGACTGAGTCGGAGGATTTCTTGGGTCAGCTGTGCCATGAACGATGATCCGCGATCTGTAATCAGAAATTCTGGAGCGCCGTACCGGAGGACGGTGAACTCAATGAAAAACTTGGCAACTTCCACAGAAGTCCCCGAAGGAAGAGCTTTTGTTTCGGCGTACCGCGAGAGATAATCTGTGGCGACGATGATCAAGCGGTTCCCCGACGTCGAGGGCGGAAAAGGACCAAGTTGATCCATTCCGATCTGCTGGAAGGGTGCAGTTGGAGGAGGAATGGCAGCAGGGGTCCGGCCGGCCTCGTCGGAGGTTTCTTGCGTCGCTGGCACTTGTGGCATGATCGTGTGTATAGGTGGACGGTCTTGGGGAGCTTGGGCCAGTAATACTTTTCACGAATACGGGCCAGTGTCCGGCTGTAACCAAAGTGTCCGGACGTCGGGTCGTCGTGGCAGGCTTGGAAGATCTCCTCTCGAAGGTCACTCGGGATTACCAGCAGCCACGGTGTGTTGTTGTCAGTCTTGTACACGTTACTAAAAAAAAGTAATCGATTAAAATTACTATTACTCTTGGCTAAAAAGTATTCGATTAAATTACTTGATTACTCGACGACAAAAGTAATTGGACATTACTTAAAAAAGTAATCGTTACTTTTCCGATTACTTTATTGTGTCAAGACAGATCTTTAGCGCTCATAACAATGAACTACTTCCAACCTATATTTCACATTTGCACAAGTATTGAAGAAGAAAAACTGGCTCCCTCTTCGTGGTCGTTTCACCTTCACAATGCGGACACAAGCATAGAATTCGTTTGAAGATGTTTAATGAGTTATGCGTTCGCCAGTTTGGGGGGGGGGGGGGGGGGGGGGTGAAGCGGAGGAGGTTCTAGTCGCTCAAAGTTTGCGTCGCTCATTTTATTATTCACATGTGGATGAGCTCGCATGTTATACAAAAGACCAGCAGCTCCAGGATTTGAAACGGATCATGTGTAGTATCCATTAGCGGAAGAGATCGCCCCGACCACTTCTCAACTCGAAACATTGCTTGTCACAAAGACCACGTAGGGGAAATGGGGAAATATTTCAACTGCCTTTGTTATATTTTGCATCCGCTTTAGGCATTCTTCGGTTCTGGTTCTCCTACGGTCTGCGAGTACGTACCCTAAGCAGGATTTTTTTTTTATTTCTGTGTGTGCGTGCGTCAGGGGTCTAGTTTGAACGAAGGACTCACAAAGCTACATTCTGCTTCCTCAAACTTCGCCCTGAAAGGCCTTTGTCACGCACTGTGGCTTCCCTGGGGCACCCGACTCCCAGTCCCAGCTCGAAAAAAAAAAAAAGCGGACATTCCACAGAAACTGTACATAGAAAGAGACTGACCTCGTTTCCTACAGCTCTGCAAAATCTTTCTTTTTTCCGTTCGAAAAAAAAAAATAGAAGCTAATATTATTTTTGTCATTTCATAAAAAAAAAGGCGTGTGCCCGGGGGAGGGGGGGGGGGGGGGGGGGGCGGCGGGGGAACGGGTTCCCTGGACAAATTGTAACGGTTACAAGTAATTTTATTACTTCAAAAGTAATCAGATTACTATTGTGATTACTGCCTAATAAGCGTAATCAACTGATTACAAAATTACTCCAAAAAGTAATCGATTACAAGTAATTTGATTACTTGTAATGCGTACGGTACAAGTCTGGTTTCCTTCATGTGTGCCTGTGAGTGTGACTGTATCCCCGCTGCTCCATCCAAACATGAATAACCATCTTGCCCAAGCATCCACATTATCAAGCCATCATCAACCTCAGCGCTATTTATGTTTCTGTCCTGGCTTGGCTTAGCTTGCTTGAGTCTTTCGGATGGGTGGATAATTGCCATAACGGTACACCTTGTAGTAGGCGGTAGCTTGCGCCACCTAGATTGAATGTTGCCAACGGAACTGAATTTTGAAATACTGCGCAAATACAAAACTAATAATAATTGTAGTGCGTCCTGGTTTTATT